TGAACAGGAGTCCAACGAAGTCGGCTGAAACGACACCATATGAGATATGGACAGGGAAGCATCCTATGTTGTCGTTTGTCAGAATTTGGGGATGCGACGCATATGTGAAGTATCTGATGACTGACAAGTTATACTCCAAATCTGACAAGTGTTTATTTATAGGCTACCCTAAGGAAACTAAAGGTTACTACTTCTATATTCCGGCAGAGAACAATGTATTTATTGCCAGGAATGCGACTTTTATGGAGCGAGAGTTCGTCTCCAAAAGAGTCAGTGGGAGTAGGATCGAACTTGAGGAAATTCGAGAGCCACCCCTGGATCGTCCGGTCTGATAGCCAGAACGGACGGTCTAGGGTTCCGAGATCAAATCTCGTTTTCCGCATTTCCGGCCCCGATCAGATCTGAAATACATCTGAATTCATCTGTAGCCCAAAATTCGAACTTCTGCACTCTATGCAACATGAAACATGCAATTTACCATAGATTCAATCATCAAACATGCATAGAAATCAAAGCAAACATGGATTTAACGATTTAAACCCTAAAACGTGTGTGATTGGGTTCTACGAAATCAAACAGAGCAACCAGGCTCTGATACCACTGTTGGTATTCCTGAGATCTCTAAAGCGAATCCTTTTCCTAAGAGATCGATTCTAGGGTTTGCGCAGCGGATGTAAAACAAAAATTTATATGAAACCCTAGAACCATCTATGTATGAATCGTAGAAACGTTAGAACGCTTACCTCAATCGATCCGGAGTCTGTATCAATTGATGTGTTCGTCCGACCACGAAAGGGAGGAAGATCACCTCGCCCTCTACGTATCCACACCTCGGGATGGATTCCAACGATTGGAACTTGTCTGCTAGGACCCGAATCAACTATTCGGTAAAGTGCTTCGAGAAAACGAGACCTAGATCACCTCTTAGACCTTCTTGGCTCACCCAAAAGTATGTGGAAGTTCACAAAGTCGGCTCTCCTTAATTAGGGTTCTTAATCTCCTTCTTATAAAGTGATTAACTCTAATTTCGATTTATTTTCGAAAAATCCGAAAGTCGGAACGGACGGTCCAGAAATACACCAGGCACTTCAGAACGGACGGTCTACCTTGTCTGGACCGTCGGGTCTAGCCCTGCCGGACCATCGGGTCTGGCCCTTCTGGTCCATCGGGTCTAGACCCTTCTGTCTTGGTTTTTCGTCGTTTTCTCGTGCATTCGTCCTTCCCTGCGTGTGTGACCCTGTAGGCTCATTCAATATAGCAGTATAACCCGAAATCTCTATTTCGGATATACAAGTCATAGGCGGTCTCTAGCAAGACAATATGACTATCTATCTCGAATAGAGTTTGTTTGTGATCTTACGAACGTCAGTGATGATTCCGGTTGATGATCTTTTTGTATCACGATATCATATGTCGAACATACGGCATGGAAAACCCACCTTATCTGATTCAACTGCTTTCTCGTTCACTGAGTTCGAAAGTATAAAATAGACGACGTTCGTCTATAGTGCGGCCACACATTTTTACAGTCTTGCTAACACAAGGGGCCCAACGATATCTCTCTCTTTTACGAGAGGTACAAATCCCATCTTGACTATCTACAATCCAACACATGATTCGTGTCGTACCTGATACACACCTTTATAGTCCTCCTGTTACGCATGACGTTTGACGTATTCAAAGTACGCAACTCTTCATATTGGATTCCGTAGATATCTCAGGTCATAGGATCCAATCATGGAACCGTGATGAGGACATCGGAGCTAGCAACTTGGACGAGGACGGGAGCTTAACGGAAGGAGCTCTAGAAGATGTTCAAGACTTGACCCATCAGGCGTCAAGACTCTTGCCGGATGATCATAACGTCACAAGATCATTCGAAGCCGCGGGAACGAGATTTGATGTGCACAACGCGAAGGCTCCCCGAGCAAGCCATAGACCCGAGCCCCCTCTTACTCATGCTAGAGCTCGAGTGCTTCGCGTCATGCTATCCAAGGCTGTCACTCAAGTTTTCACGGAGTCCGGGATCATGACAATAACATTTCAGTTTTTCGGCCAAGACTTGACCCGGAATGTGTTCCATATCAAGGTCGAAAGCTCTTAGGCCCAATGACATCGAAGCAGGCCCATAAGCTGCCCAATTCAAGCCCAAATCAAAGTAAAAGCCCAGCCCAATAAATTCTAAGAAGTTCCAACAGCTATATTTTTCAAACTCTAGGCACATTTATGAGTAGTCTTGCATGTGTTTTGTGCATTTAATGCACTAGCTGTTGGAGCCTTTGTTTTCTCTTTAAATATGAGTTGTAAGACATCATTTTGATCAGATTTCAATATTGGAAAGAAATATTTTCGAGTTGAGTTTTACTCCTCTTGTTGGTGTGTCCGACATTGTCTCGGCTTGTCCGAGAAATCCCGTCTTGGTTTGTCCGAGGCTTGTCTTGGTTTGTCCGAGGCCCTATCCTTCGTTCTATCTCGGCTTGTCCGAGAAATCCCGTCTTGGTTTGTCCGAGGCTTGTCTTGGTTTGTCCGAGGCCCTATCCTTCGTTCTACATCCATCTCTTGACTACGATTCGAATTCGAGAGCCTCTACGAGTGCCGGTGATTGGATCAAAGTCCCGCAGCCCTATCCTTTTCGGTCCCTCTCCAACCGTCGTTCGAATTCGAGTGCCTCCACGAGAGTGCCGGTGATCGTTCACGGATTCTCTCCATCTCCTTCGTGCGTACATCATTTTGGTATCAGAGCTGCTCGATCCTACGGCCGAAATTCCCTGGTGAGATCGCTCCTTGCTTCTCGCTTCGGTTCTAATTTCGTTCTTAACTTCTAG